ATGCTTGGAGATTTTTCAAAACTACAATTACAGAGGGACAGAAAGTATGCACAGCAGAAGTTAGGAAAGGTGTATGAAGTCCATGAGGGCATCAGCGAGCTTAACAAGTGGAGTCAAGGAAGTTACAGGAGGGTTCCTTCAAGAAATGGAAAACCTGCCCAAACAAAAGGGAGTACCAGCTTGTACAAGAGAGATACAAGCAGACAACAAGAAAAACAAAGCAACATTTTGAGCAATGTATTGCTAACAACATAAAGGTCAACAAAAAGAATTCTTGAAATATATCAGAAGAAACAAACCGGCTGAACAAGTAATTGGGCCACTAGATGATAACAGAATTAAAGAAGCACTAAAAAAGGATAAAGAGATTGCAGAGAAGTTGAATGAATTCTTTTCATCTATCTTCAAAGCTGAGGAAAAAGAACAGCTAACTGTTCCTGAATTTATCTATTCAGGCAGGAAGTCTGAAAAATTATGGGAGACAGTAGTGACAAAAAATATTTTTTACCTTGTGGACAAACTGAAAACCAATAAATCACCAGACTCAGATGTTGTCCATCCTAAACTTCTTAAAGAGTGCAAATATGAAAATTTTGCAACCCTGTTGCAAAAATATGCAAAAACATCAGCCAAAGGACTGAACAATGAGCAATATAGCATCTATTCTGATAATGGAATTGTGGGGAGGGAGATCTGGAGAATTACAGACCAGTTAGCTTAATGGCTATTTTCCATAAATTGGCTGCAACTGTTATTAAAGACAGAATCAATAAGCACATAAAAGGACAAACTCTGCTGAAGAAGAAGAAAAAAAAAACAGCATGGCTTCTGCAAAGGTAACCTTTTGGAGTTCTTTGAGAGTGTTAATAGGCATGTAGACAGGGGCAATCCAGTTGACATTACCTGGACTTCCAAAAAGTATTTGGCAAACTCCCACACCAAGACTCCTGAGAAAACTTAGAAGTCATAGGCTAAGGGTGGTGGAAGGAGTGGGGGCTCTTGTGGATCAATAACTGGTTAAGGAACAGAAAGCAGAAGGTGGGAATAAATGGCACCCACCTATTTAGGGTGGTTAAAACCAAAAATTTTGAAAAGCTCCAAAAGGATCTCTCCAAGCTGAGAGAACGGGCATCAAAATGGAAATGCCGTTCAATGTAAGCAAGTGTAAAGTAATACATATTGGGTCAAAAAATACCAAATTCAAGTATAGGCTGATGGCATCTGAGCTAGTAGTGATAGATCAGAAAAGGGATCTTGGGGTGGTGGTAGACAGCTTGATCAAAATGTCAACCCAGTGCACAGCTGCTGTGAAAAAGCCAAACTCCATGTTGGATATAATTTGGAAAGGAAGTGAAATAAAACTACTAAGATCATACTCTTTTATAGCTCTAGAATATGTGTGCAATTCCAGTCACCACATCTGACAAAAGGTATCACTGAGCTGCAAAAACGCAACTAAAATGAACAAGGAGTTGGAGCAACACTTCTATCAGGAATGGTTATGACAACTGGGCTTGCTTACTTTAGAATAAAGGAGAGTAAGACATGATAGAGGTGTTTAAGATTATGTATGCTGCAGAGAATTTTTTCTCCCTCTCCCATAATACAAGAATCCAGGATCACTCTATGAAGTTGATTGCTGGAAGACTCAAACCAGATAAACGTATTTCTTCACACGCTACATGAACTATGGAATTCACTGAAGTAGTGATGACCACCAATTTGAATGGCTTTAAAGGGATACTGGATAGGTTCATGGAAGAGAAGGCTATCAAAGGCTACTAGCCTTGCTGGCTATTTGCTTGCCTCCACTATCAGAGAAAGTATGCCTGCTTGAGAAATCCTGTAAGGCATGTAGGCCTTCATGCAAAAGTAGTGCTGGATTGGTTAGACCATTGGTCTGATTCAACATTTTTTTATGTTATGTAAAGCCATATCAGGTATTAATGTATGGAAATAATTTCCACATGTAAATATTTAATGTGGCCTCAACCTGTTTTTAAATAAATAAATAAACAAACCTCCCCTACAAATCCCAATGGCAACACATTCTTCAGTCTACTCAACTCATGAGCCTAATAAAAGAAAAAAGATCCAGTGGTTAGACACTGGATGAGTTTACACAAAGTGGCCTATTCGACCTCTCCCTCCCTGCCACAATGCTGAGCCATTCTCAGCCCAGTGCCCGTGTTTTGTCCCCTTAAAAAGAGAGGGGGCAGCCAGCTTTCCCAATCCCCATTTGGCCAACCATTAGCTGCCCCTTCAAAGTGCCCCAGTAGCACCGTGGAGGGCCTCATGTTTTTTAACACTTTACACCCACAAAAGAGAGCAAAACATTTATAAAAAAAACTCCATTAACACAAACAAGCTCATTCAAGGAGGCACTAATGGGAGGATTCCATGCCTGCGCTGGGGCAGTGTGTGTGTGGGAGGGGAGAGGCCCAATGGCAGCAGGGAAGCACTGTGGTCATCACACAGCAGAGGCTCGAAAACCCACTCCCTGATTATTTGAAAGGTTGGAGTGACTCATCTGTCTAGAGAAGCCCAAGCTATGAGAGATCTTATGCTAAGAAGAGGATGATCCTTTCTTTGGGGGCACCTCTTCCTTTCTCAAAGAGATCCTTAACTTTTCCCATTCTCCCCCTTAGACATCCATGTGGGAGCCAAGTTTGCCCCTTTCCCTGATCCTCAAAGGGCTTTGTCCCCACCTCTTTTAAAGGGTAAACCAAGTTCGACAGTTGACTTCAGGTTCCTTAAAAAGGGAGTGGATACTTAGGGTAAATGTGGAGGATTTGTATTAGGACAACTGGGAATGTGCTTCAGTTGAAATACCTGCCATCCCCCTTTAAAAAACCCTTCTCTGGAGGCTCCCAAAGGGTGACAGATACTTCTATTGAAGCACCACAAACTAGACAGCTTTCAAAAGTGAAAATTAAAAAACTGTAAGTGAGCACTAAATATATGACATGATTTTTAAAAAACAAAGGTAGGTGTAGCAGAAGGAACAGATTATAAATAGGAACTGGCCTCAAAATGCAATTTTTAAAAAGCTCATTCTAGCAGGTCAAATGTGACCATGATGGCGGTGATGATGGAACTCATTTCCATGCCATCCCATGATGATGGATTTCATTTCTATGCCACCCCATAGCCAGCTGAGAGACAGCACAAACCACACTTGCTTTTACAAGGACCTCCCCATCTGAATCACAGCCCCAGAGATGACTCTGTTCTGCATCCCAGCCAACCAAGCCTCTGCCACCACTGAGACATCATGAACAGCCTACCCTCAAGACTTAAAGGATGGGCAGGCTTGCCTTACAGCAGTTTTTCTTAAGGCATCCTGGTCCTAAGCCATCTAGGATTTGAATCAACCCTTTTGAATTGTGCCGAAAAACACAACGGTAACCAGCCCCACTGAAGTAACAGAAGTATTTACTGCTCCCAAGAGCAGGCACCTGACAGCAAACATGTTGCTCTATTCTGGACCAGCAGCTGGAACATCAGGTGAGTTACAACGCATAATTTTCCTAAATTAAAAGGGCATGCATATTCCTTGAAGGATCTTTAAGTATGATTAATGCTCTTGCAAAAATAAAAATATTTTTCACAAACTAAAAAATGTCTTCAGTTCTGGTTAAAAGAGCAAATGCCTGCTTCATTCTGACAGTGTAAGGCCTAGAATGCAATTAGCAGGAAGCATCAATATTGCCTCATTGACTCCCAAGGAGAAAGTAAGATACAAAGAAACAATCACTTCAAAATTGATGCTATACTTCAACATTGCTTTTTGAAGTTAAGAGCAGGTAACAGTGTAAAACTGGATTTGAGATAGACTTTCAACAAGCGGTTGTCTAGGCAAACTAACTACTGTTTCATTACTTTACACGATACTGATCTTAAAGAAAAATAATTTTAATTTCATTTAAGCTTCATGTTTACTTATATAGAGAAAAATGTCTATTTTTATTTCAATGCATAATATCATTCACTCAATTTTTATTTTTGTGCATAATGTCATTCGTTCAAACTCAAATGCTTGCATCAATAGCAACAGTGACTTGATTCACATATAATGGGTAACTATGGGCTAAATAACCAAAATGAGCAAGCTGCCTGCCGCACATCAGGCACTTCACCTTTTCTTCCAGATCATCAAACAAATCCAGAATGTATCATTCCTTGGTTTTTGCCATGACATGAGAACTCAACCCTGGGTTATTGAGGAAGAAGCGACCCAGTGTACCAAGTTCCCATGTAAGACCACCATCCCAAGGACACGGGTTTCCTAGGCTGTTTGGCAACCCCAAAAAAGTGGAAGTGACAGGTCTGCAGGAGGAAGCTTGTTAACTACTGCAGCCACAGCCACCTACGGATTGTTTAACCCAGTTAGCAGCTGTGGGCAAACAAAGTCTCGGATTCACTGATTTGAATCCAATCAACCATCCTCTCTTCCTCACACCAAATAATGAAATGTGCTTCACCAACATTCATATGTCAAACATAATTGCATATTAAATTTAATTTTGGTTAGAAAAAGTTGCATGCATTTATGACTGAAGTACAGTATCGTTTCTCAAAGCTATATACAAAGCTAAAACTAAGCAGCATGAAACTATCGGAATATTAGCTAAGTCTAAGACATTCCATTCATTCTTAGATCACTTTGGATAATCCTAAACCCCAAAAAAGCAAATATATTTCAGTATGTTGGGAAAAAATTCTTCTCCATAATGTTAATGGAAATTTCTACTTAAACTGACTGTATACTAGGACTGGACCATACATTACAAAGAAACACAAAATTCCAAACTATTTTCCTCAGAACACAAATACAGCAAGGGAGGTAGTACTGTAGGAAATCAGAGTTGAGGAACATGCAATCGCTAAGGTAATGTGTCATATATTTGCAGATTTTTTACTTTGACATCTCAGTTCTTAAGCAAGCGACAGTAACACCAACCTTGAATAATAAACATTCAAAAATCAAGTTTACATACGTAGTAGATGAAAGATTCCATCACAGGCACTAATGTGTGACAAAAAGGCATTTCCTAGTCCCTGTCCAGCGTGGGCTCCTTTCACAAGGCCAGCAATATCCACTACATTCAGAAAAGCTGGAATTTTGCTGAAAGATAATACAATATTTCAGTAAATAGTACAGGCAAATATTGCCATATTCACAACCACTCAAAGGTCTCTGCAGAAATAACTTTCTGCAATTCAAGCGAATGGTTTGTCCTAAAAGTAAGCAGATAAGATGCCTTTGTTGTATTTCATATTAAACTTCTCCTTAACACCTCATTAGTAAATTGCATGTGCTTTCTATGTTCCTCACAAGATTGTTGGTTCAAGTTTGCTGTTCTTCTCATTTTGTTCTTAATATGAAATGCATGCACTGACACAGAATTTAATATACACCAATAATTTTGATTCAATGCACAGAGGAGGAGGATGGAATGGAGAAGGAAATTTCCTGAGACTGGAAAATAGTTCCTGTTGCACAAATTAAAAAACAAACAAAAAACACACCTCTATATACTAAAACAAAATTGATGGAATACATTAGTGATGCCTGTATATCAAGGAGTAGATTTTGCAAAATTGGCTTTTGTTTAAAGTATTTTTAAAAATCAATAATGAAGGACTTTGTTATTATAACCCATCAAGCTGTCTCCAACTTATGGCAAGTTTGAATGACCTGCAAAATGCCATCTCCTAGACAGTCCCACTCAGCCCCTGTAAATTCAAGGCCATGGCTTCCTTTATGGAGTCAATCCATTTCATATTTGGTTGTCCCTTCTCCCTTTGACTTTTCCTAGCATATTGTTTCCTCCAGCAAGCCTTGCCTTCTTTCTCATGATGTGCCCAAACTATCACAGCTTCTGTTTTGTCATTTTACTTCTAGGGAATGCCCTGGCTTGATTGATCTGGACCCACTTGCTCATCTTCCTGTCAGTCGAGGGTTTTCGCAAAGCTCTCCCCCAGCACCACATTTCAAACACACTAATTTTCTTCCTGTCAGTTTTCTTCACTGTCCAGCTTTCACACTCGCTGAGGATACAAGAGTCTGGATGACCTTACCCTTGATCTTCAGTGAAATGTCCTTTCACCTGAAATGAAGGACTAGTAAAGGGATAATAGCCAGAGTGTATTACTAATGAGGCAAAAAATAACAGAATTTGAAAATTTGAATGTATGGAAAAAAGGCAAAGAGCAGACTACATCAGCCCCTGGAAAAAATTTCAGTGAGAGCAGAAAACTGAGCTGTGCAGATGTATCCAAAATCATTACATTCGATGTAATGTAGGATTTCGTGGTGTTTGGCAACACAAGAAAACTACATTCTACAGTATCGTATATTACGCCAACCCAATAATACGTATGGGGTCCATGACATGGGCTAAATTAACAAAATGCTGTATACTACAGTCCAGAAACATAAACTGGCCCAAAACTGGACAGCAAGAATGTTAAAAAGTGGCCTATGTTGTCATATTACATCAAGTGCTTTATGGTCTGCGTCGGCTGCCAATCCATTTCCAGGCCCAACTAAAACTGCTGATATTAAGCTGCAAAGCTCTAAATGGCTTAGGGTCACATTACCACGATAGCATACAGACTCCTGGGTAACGTTGTTCAGAATTTTGTAATCTGTAGTACACAGATGACACCCTTTCCATCATAATGCAAGGAATTACTGAAATACTGAATGGACTAGGTGAAGACAAATACAGTGAACCTTAATCCAAACAAAACAGGGATGCTCTTGGTTTAAGTGAAAAATGCTTCTCATTTGGCAAGCGTCAAAGAGTGAACTGTCAAGCAAAAAGCAAACCTATGAAAAGAGCTTTGCTTACAAAAAAGAGGTGGTGACCAGTTCTTGTGCTGAGGAAAAGGCAAAAGTATATTCTATCCCATTTTGGGAGTTTTCACATCTATCAAAATAAAGGGCTTCTTATGTGGTATTAAGAATTAAGATTGCTGGGAGAAATATCAACAACCTCAGCTATGCAGATGATACCACTTTCATGGCAGAAAGTGAAGAGGAACTAAAGAGTCTCTTGATGCGGGTGAAGGAGGAGAGCGCAGAAGTTGGCTTGAAACTCAACATTAAGAAAACTAAGATCATGGCATCCAGTCCTCTCACTTCCAGGCAAATAGATGGGGAAGAAATGGAGGGAGTGACAGATTTTACTTTCCTGGGCTCCAAGATCACCACAGATGGGGACTGCAGCCAAGAAATTCAAAGACGCTTGCTCCTGGGAAGGAAAGCTATGGCAAATCTAGACAGCATACTAAAAAGCAGAGACATCACCCTGCCAACAAAAGTGCGTATAGTCAAGGCTACAGTTTTCCCAGTTGCAATGTATGGCTGTGAAAGCTGGACCATAAGGAAGGCTGAGCGCCAAAGAATTGAGACCTTTGAATTGTGGTGCTGGATGAGACTCCTGCGAGTCCCTTGGACCGCAAGGCGATCAAACCAGTCAGTCCTAGAGGAGATCAACCCTGACTGCTCTTTAGAAGGCCAGATCCTGAAGATGAAACTCAAATACTTTGGCCACCTAATGAGAAGGAAGGACTCCCTGGAGAAGAGCCTAATGCTGGGAACAATAGATGGCAAAAAAAGAAGGGGACGGCAGAGGATGAGGTGGCTACATGGAGTCACTGAAGCAGTTGGTGTGAGCTTAAGTGGACTCCGGGAGATGATGGAGGACAGGAAGGCCTGGAGGAATGTTGTCCGTGGGGTCGCGATGGGTCGGACACGACTTCATGACTAACAACAACAACATGTGGTATTAGTTTATTAATACTTGGCAAGTATTCCCAGAAGCTTAATGTTTTGTTTTATAAATATGTATGGGGTTCTACTGTACCATGACTACCCTTGAAAAGGATGCGACTGTGTATATCCAAGAGAGGGGATTTCACCTCCCTGACCTTTTCCACATAGAGTAGATTCTGTCCCCTGGTTGGTTAATTTCTAGATCTTCTTTCCAAGTGGACTGCATTGGGCTCTAGCAAGCCAAAATAATATGTCCTCTCCAGTTGTCACAGCTATTGAGCTTAGCTATGAATTTTCACATCAACTGCAGTTTGACACATTCTCCCATGAAAAATTACCTTTACAGGGAAAGCTGGATTTAAAAATTGGAAATAGAAAAATTGGTTCCATCAAGCGCAAGGGGGGCTTTTGTCCCTGCAGCTGTTAAACTTTATAAGGCAAATACATTGGCCCAATTGTTTTATGGTTCCTTTATGGGACCATCCAGCTTGTGTTTTGCTCCACTGGAAAGAGTCCAGTCTAAGTTTCTAAGAATCATTTTGCAGGTCCCTAGGTGTTCATCAAATGCCAGGTTAAGAGAGGAAACAGGCCTTGTGAAAGTCAAAACCTGGGTCTGTATTTTATCTACATATATGTGGCTAAAGGGACATCTTAACCTACAAGGTCTTTTCCTGTTGGTATTCTGCAATAACTTTCAGTCAAACTGGCTGAGGGCCATTCAGAGTTGCCTGCAAAGAATTAGTCTTTCCCCCAAAATGCTTCTCTCCTGTGAATTGCTTCATGCAGAGAGAGAGAGCGCGTGAGAGAGAGCAGAGAATCAAAGATATGGAACATCAAACTGATCATGCCAGCTTACAAAAATATAAAGTTTAGGGTAAACATTAAATACTCTGTAGAACTGGCAAACTATTTGATATCACTGGAAACAAAAGGGGTTAGAAGAGCTTTTACTCTTGTCAGGTGCATTGCTCTTCCACTATTCTCGAAGGCAAGTACAAGAGCATCCCCTTTGCTGAATGGCTTTGCACTTGCTAGAAAAGGGAGGTTGAGACCTTGGAACATAAGTTTCTTTCATGTCCAAACAAGCACAAAATGAGTTAATTATTCCACTCTTTTGGGATAATCCAATTCTTTCCAAAAAAAAAAAAAAAAAAAAAGCTAAACTTGAGTTTCTTCTATCAGATAAAGATGCTAAAATCACACATCAAGTATCCAGTTTCTGCAGGGCAATACCCAAGTTAAGAAAATCTTATGCTGTTTAGTTATAAATCCATACATTTTATACAATTAAACTAAAGTGAATTTCAACAAAATTTCTATTAGTATTACCATTATGTGCATGCTTATATTACATGTTTCAGTTATGTGGCCTAGGTTATTTTAACTTGTAGTGCTCATAACTTGCCTTTTTGACTTTTAGTTCATTTTAAATTGTTATTTTCATTGGAGTAATGGAAAAAGCATTGATTAATCCATTATGCTGTCCCACATTGGTTTATGCTAGTCTATGACCACAAGGAAGGAAGGAAGGAAGGAAGGAAGGAAGGAAGGAAGGACGGAAGGAAGGAAGGAAGGAAGGAAGGAAGGGACAGGCGGAAGGTTATTTGGTGAATTTGGACAAACAGGGTAATTTTTACTTATTGGTTCTGACAATAAGTTTTTGCCATTTTCTGCTTTGCATGATAAATACAAATGGTCAGCTACAGCTGCATGGCAATATATGCAGGGAAACTGTTTGTGAGAGTCCAAGTTTACAGCTGCTGCTTTTACAGCCTCAGAGCTACCTGTGTCATCAGAGGTATTGACTGAGGCCCAAAAGTTACACTGGCCTACAATTCATATGTATGGATATCTGTTATGGGTGAATACATATGGTACACAGCCAAAAATAGAGTAATGCATAGGACCCCCCCCCCCTTCTGCCCTATCCATCATGTACTTCATTATTGTCTATTTTCCAAGGAGTCACAGATCTTGGGCTTTAATTCAGCAAAATCTGATCTTGCAAGTATATCACACCAATGTAAGGTACCCTATTATTTAGCAGGGACAAAGACAAAAGATAAAAGGTCCCATTATCCTGCTAATGCGCTGCACTATGCTCACCCTTTTTCACTGGAAAAAGGGAGCAACCAGAGCAAGCGGTGGACTAGGTCAGGGGTCGGCAACCCACGGCTCCGGAGCCGCACGTGGCTCTTGAATCCAAGTTACAAAATACCGATAGGTGATGCTGAGGCATCTACTCAGGAACGCTGCGCTAGCAGGTTCAGTAAATTGCAACACTGGAGAGAAAGCGTGGAACAAGCTTCCTGCAGGCTCTCATGTTACACAAAAGGCTGCTGAAAAGATTCTCTTTGTCCCAATGTAATCTCCTTCCTCTGAATGTAAAAGCTGCGCTTGGGACCTGTCACAATTCACAGCACTTGACTGTTTGTCTGCTAATCAGTCACTAAACACACCTGTATCTGAGACCCCCACTAGGCCAACCATGGATAAATCGAAGAAAAGTTTCTGAAGAAAACCAAATGTTTAATGGTAAGTGGGTAATTCATTTGCTTTTACTGCTGACGAACTTATGGGGTTTGCTGTTTAATGTATGCAGCCCTTTGGCATGGACTTTGACTCTGCGGGAAGCTGTTCTCCTATTCAAAATATATGAAAGGAGTCCTACTAGTTTATAATGTTAGATTAAAAATAACAGTTTTTAGTGACTGAACAAGAGCTGCAGCTAAATCATAATGAAGATGTACATAGCATTAAGGTAAAAAATGTTATATGCAGTTGTATCTTCATTTCAGATGTCAAAAGGGTTTTGCAGCTCCTGGTGTTTTCTTTTGTGTGGGAAACGGGTCCAAATGGCTCTTTGAGTGTTAAAGGTTGCCGACTCCTGGACTAGGTAAACCTTTTCAGCTGTCTGCTCTTGAAGAACAGTAGAAACATGTGAATCTTTTAGACAGGGAAGATAAGAACTCTAGAGCAATTCCACAGTTAAGCCATCTTAGTTTTCTGCCATTCTTACAATTACAAAAATACAAGGGTTTTTTTAATCCTACAATGCTATTTTACACAGGAGAAATGCAGAGGAACAGGAACCACATGGCCCATGTATTTCCTCCTTTCGTCACAAAATGGTTGCACCTGAAAACTCTCTCAGATATACCACTGGCACATTCCAGCTTCTTGGAAGAGTAACAGTGAGGTCTAACTGGGTCCATCCACTGACAATATCCGCCAGTGAAAAGGATCCCTCTGCTCAGCCTTGCAGTACAACAAATTCCTTCAAGACTTGAGCCTTGAGTGAACAAAAATGAAGATGAAGAGAGAGAACTAAGAGATCCTGGAGCTCAATATAGCTCTGTAACAATATATTATACACCCATTTAGTCAGAAGCAAACCCTGCTGACTTACACTACACTCAGTATCCTAAAGTTCATACCTTACATTCCCCACACTAAAGACCATCAAGAAGAATATAGAGAATATTGGTACAAGTTGAGGCCCCAAGGCTCAATGGCAGAGGGTTGCTTCGGTGACAGGGTTGCTTTATCCCACTAGGCCTACTGCTCAGATAACAGTAAACTAAACCAACTGGGACACAGGATAGATGAGCCTGGGGAAGAATACATGCCCCAAATGTCAGAGAACAACTGCATGAAGGGGTAAAACAGAATATTTAAAACAAATTGTTTAAGTTCTTGATTCACTGTCCAAACTGGATTGTCCTTCCCAAAATAAAGAAGTGTGAAGAAAATATACAATAATGAAGCATTTCATATTTACTTTATTTTTATTAAAGCATTTAAACTGCTTTTTTGGCCATAACAGCGCTCCCAGAACAATTCACAAAACACCACAACATCAAATTATAGTTCAAATGAAATCCTTGAAATGTAAGTAGTAGAATTAAAACCTTCAATATTATCAGGGATTCAAGTTAGTTGGAAAAAACATTGTTTCCAAGGGGCAGCTAAAACAGCATTAGGGGAGGGAGCTAGACAATTCCACATCTGGGGTATTACCACAGAAAGGGCTCTGGCTTCAGTCTCTCAGTGGTGGGCTATATTACAGGTTGGCTTATAAACAAATAATTGTGATAAGTAAGGAAGCTTTTGTAAACTGGAAGATAATCAGCAGTGTTCCTCTTTTTGGCTCTCCACATGCCAAATGGCTAACTCATGTCTAGACGGGTGAATTGCTAGAATGGATGGGCATATGACACCCTCAGATTTGCACGCAAGATGGTTTCAAGTTTCCTGAAGAATAATTTCTCTTTGAAACTATGAACTGCTTTCAAATTTGATTGCTATAGAAAAACAACCCCATCTTTAAAAAATTACTCAAGTGGCAAAGACACAAATACAAAAACGCACTAAAGGAGATGTTGCAAAAATATTGCCAATAGAAGTTTGGCAATGAGAAGTGTATGTCTTTATGTAAGAACAAATTAACAATCTAGTAACTTTAAAGTTATTTTGTTGTTTTACCTTGGAGGCTTATGGTACTGGCAAAGGAAATCGTATCTCTCATCCGGCACAGGTACCCTGCTCTCATTTGGATCAATAGTACAGAAAGGAAAGTTCTCCGCTGAAGCTTGACTCTTGGTCAATACATTGAAAAAGGTAGATTTCCTTGAAAACAATAAAAAACAGATGTGTCGTATGTGAGATAAGCTCCCCAATTAATCCAGGCAGTCTCTTTTTTTTTTCTCAACCGGTCTGCTTTTTGTAATATCTTGCCTGAAGAGCAGGAGATCTCACAACAGCATTGTGCGTATTTGGCTGGTTCCAATAAAGTTATTGTCTGAACGCTGGTCAATAATTTTGGAACTGCATTTATAGACCGGAACAGTTTACTTTGCTTTATGTGAAATTAAAAGAGTACTCTATGAAACAATCCATCTTTGCTAACATACTTCTAACATTTCCAAAATATTAGGGTATCCCCACAAGTTGGCCTAGTTTTATAAATTTTGTAGCATTTTTATAAACCTGAGTATAGAAATAACAGAAAGCAAAGTCAACCTGCCTACTCTGAGGCATACCTTGCAAACAACCAGAGGTTCCTCCTGAGTCAGACAGGGGTAGCCAATTTGGCCTACTTGGCCTTCCCATCAAACTGGGCCCCTACAAGCCCTTGGAGGCTACTGGAAACTGGGGAAGGAGACAGGGGGAAAAATCCCTCCAGTTTTCTCTGCATGCCACCCTGTTTCCCAGTAGAAAATAACAGAAGGACCTCCTTACTTTCTGTACCGCTAGTGCTCCCATAAAATGTTTCACCTGCCTCACCCCAATGGAGGAAGGTGTGGGACAGGCGAAGCACCATCAACTTGTGGAGAGAGAGGCAGGAGATCACTCCCAGGCCCCTCAGCACAGAGAAACCAATATTATGGGTAGGGCTATAGGAAGGGGCAGGGCTCCTAAAGGGTCCCTCCTGGACAGCCTGCCTCAGGGGTATCAGAATGCAGGTTTCCTTTCATTTTAACTCTCTCTTCTTTAATATTAAGAGCTGTCTCCAAGGACCATTTCCATACCTTCCGTTAAGCAGCTTCCTGTGTCTAAAATAGGTTCTCTCTTCTATGTTTATCAAGCTATTTCCCTTCTTCTCCTCCTCAATACTTTATTCTTCAGCAAATCTTCTCCTTAACCACTCCAAGCATCACCCTCTGTGTGCACCACTTCTGCTAGCCGACTGTCCCCTACACATTTTCTCAGTATTTAGCTGAGAAATTCTCAAATTGCAGCCAATCCTCTCAACTCCTGTCTAATGTAGACTTCATAGTACCTAGACAGAAGAATGTCACTAATTTTGCAAAACATCTAGTATACTGTTGGCACTATATATTGAAAGAGGAAAACAATATATATTATTTTCACATAAACTCTGACATTAATTATCAAGTATATTAGTAAATAAAAAATACTGACTGATTACAAGAGTCTTAACTTTCTTTTCACACACTTTTCTCCCAAAACTTAGTGCTTCCCATTCTGTAAGGCTCTGTCGCAAATAGAAGATTATTTTTTGTTGCTCAATATTTATATTTCCCTTACTTTACATTTCAAAAAAAGACAAAAAGAAAGCCAAGGTATAAGACTACTATATTTTCCTTTATGTCTAACTAAATGAAGCACAGACTTGTGTCCTTTTATGTATATATCCAATCACATACAACTAATCCTTTCACAGGGAATTCAAAAATACTTTACACACACAAGTTTTGCTTCTATTTCTAAAGATCAACTTTTGGATATGAAGGTTAAAATGTCTGTGACAGCATACTGAACTTAATTATTGAACTATTTTTTACTTAATTCATGAAGATAACTTGATTTGTTACCATGTATCTATAAAGCTACCCATTTATTAAGCTAATTTAATAATCATATCTATTTTAAGACAACAGCTAAAAACATTGAGAGTTTTCAAATTAAAGACATGCAAGGTCAGAACATTTGTTTCATCATAAATTTTTTAACTTAGGTATGACATAAGCATAAAGTCCAGGAAACATATAGGCAAAGGAAATGTTATCATCAATATTTCATAGTGTACATACTTCAGCACAACTCTTCTCTGATTTATTCAAGAGGGCCTACCACCTTTAGGATGACTAAGCAAAGCTTAATCCCTTTAATCACCTACCCAACATTTGGCAACCCAACAATGCCAATTTTCAAGGAAGTTCCAAATCTTCCAATGATTGGATGTGGTTTAATTCCATCACCTCCCTTTTTGGGGGGCATCTAAAATGAAAAACAGAAAACACAAAGTAATTTAAATCCCAAACTCCCTCACTTACCTCTGAGGATTCCAAATGCAAACATGCTTTCTGATACATAATAATCCAAAATATGTCAGGTACCTTTTTGGGAGCCATACCAAGCACGCATAACAGGAAGCCGAGGAGGAGGCCCTTGGGATGCCCAAGAGTTGCCGGCAATGGGGGCAACAGCCAGACAGGAGCCCGGCACGCTGCCGTGCATGGCACCCTTGCCGCACCACAGCCCCGACTAGCTGGATCTGACTGCTGCAGCTTCTGCAAAGCCCCTGGAAATGCGGAGCCAAAAATAACAGGCTCGGAGCTCAAGAAGGGATTGAAATTCAGCACCCACGCGCCGATTGCTCCACTTCCGAGCCTGACGTTCTCGGCTCTGAGTGGCGGTCGCGATGACTTTCCAGGCAGTCAAACCGCCTGGCGGGAGGGCTCCGCGGCGGAGGACCCACGCTCCTCCGCCGGGGCACAAGCGACGGAGGCGTCGACCGAGTGAGAAGCGGCTGCACCCCGAGCCCAGATCGCGCCAGCTGCCTCCTCGCAACGCGCCTGCGTGCATACACAAGGGCTGGCAACCTGCCCGCTACCCCCCGCTCCCGAATCCCAGCCTCGACAAGAAAGCACGCTGCTTCTGATGCCGACGCAGAGAGGCGCCCGCCGGGGCCCAAAGGCGCCCCCTGCAACCAGCCTCGCCTCCCGGGGGACAGCGCGCTCACGCCCTCCCATTCCCCCGCGCGCGGGCGCCCCGCAAACCCACGCCCGGCTCGGCCGCTCCCGCTCCCGCTCGCCTGCACGAGACAGCTGAGCGAGCCGGGCTGGATTACGGGCCGCGGCCCCTCCGGAGGCAGGTGGGAAGCAGAGGCAGAGCCTCAGCGCGTCCCTCCTCTCCCCCGCCCCCAACAACAGGCCTCTCCGCGGGCGCCTGCCCCCCACCGCCCCGCGTGGGGCTGCTGCCGCTGGCTCCCTCACCCCCACCCCCCCGGGAAAGGCGCGACCTCACCCCCTCCAGGGAAACGGGGGGAGCGGGCGAGGAGCTGCACACACCGGGCCGCGGCCGCCGCACGCGGCGCGGGATGCAGCAGGCGCGCGGTCCCCTCCTGCCGCCACGTCCCGCCGCACGGGCGGAGCGGGCGGCCTCACCTTGCCGGGCGAGACGATGCGGCGCTGCGCCCGAGACCCCGTCGGCAGGCAGAACGCGGAAGCCCTCGCGCCCAGCCACGCTCCAGCCTAGCGGGCGCAGCCGGCGGAACAGGCGGGACGCGCTTCCCTATGGGGCGGGGACTGGCAGAGGGGAAAGGTCATGATGGGAGGAGGAGCGGGAGGAGGAGAGGGGGGTCCGTGTAAGCGGGGTGCGCGGAGCTGCACGAGGAAGGGCGGGCCCGGGAAGGGGGTGCTCCTTGCGCTCCTCCCCCCCCCCCCACGTCGGTGCAGGAGGCACGGTGCGCGAGGGCGAGCCTGCCTCCTGCGCCCGAGGACAATTCCGCAGCCGGAGCAAGCCTCTTTCCTGCTTCTGCTCCCGACCTGTTTTTAGCGAGCGAGCAAGCAACCTCTGGGGCACTTTTCCTGCCCAGGGCGCAGTCCTTAAGCTGCTTTTCTCATGAGTCTGTCTAAGGCATGAATGAAACAGCGCAGCGGGAGAACTTCCGAGGTTATTTAGATGGTGGCTCAGGCTGGCTCGTTCCGTGTTGAAAGTCCGGGGCTCACTTCTGCCTAGAGTGCAGCCCACTCCTAGACAGGTTGCCTCAGACGAAGGGAGGGACTGAGCGGTAAGTGACCTTACATGTCTCCTGTCAAAGCCAAATAGCCATATGATGGAAAGGCCGCATATGTCAGTCGTAACAAAGAGAAGGAAAACAGAGTCACAGATCCTGACAGACAAAAGGCGATATGAATCGTGCATTCCTGCGCACGTTTACCCAGAAGTTAGTTCCACTGTCTCCAAAGGGACATATTCTTGAGTAAATGTGTATAGGTTGCGGACTATGCTACCTGCCAACCAGAACCTACATAATAACAGATACAATTGATCATTTTCTGACTGAGGAGATACCAATTCCTTCTGTTACGGATTTATTTTTGCCACATTGCTCAAGTATCTTTAGTCTAAATGGTCTTCGTTGTGCCTTTGAGAAGTCTGACCTAAAGTGGTATACATAGACATTTGCCTTTCTATTCATTCAATTTTATTTATCTCTGGCAGGTTTTTCCACACATACCTCTTGTTGCCAATGTAAATTAAAATGTGGGGGTACTCATGAACACATAATATGCTTCAGAAAGAGCCAGCTGAATTAAGGCGGTTGCAGTGAACACAATTTCAAGATAATGCCTTATTTATAAGTAACACAATACGAAATTCAAAATGATTCACCAGCTAAAGTTAGTAGGAAGAATCTTCAAATTACAACACTCTGCTAACTTTGAGGTACACAAGGTTGCCATCTTGTCTCTTTCTCATAGTTCAGCCCCCAGTCCAGCAGTAGACCTTCAAATGCAACAGATTTGCTCACTGACAATTGCGGTTAAATGCAATCTGGTGTAGTAGGGTTTTAAAAGGGAAAAAACCTGCTGCCAGTTGGAGATGGCAGTACTGAGTTAGCTGGAGTATTGAACTGATTAAATATAAGACATCTATTTTACACTTAATTTATTTGACCAGTTTTCCCAGCCTTCCTCCAAATTACTCAAGCAACATTAATGGAGAATATTTCATTTTTATCCACAACTAAACCTATGACTTGCCCAAGAACACCTGGTGAGCTCTGATTATGAGATCTTCCTTTAACCATCATACATACTGGCTTTAATCTATCTCATGACTAATACATTTCTCAGGTGACCTATGATTATTGGATTCATAACAGGACTCTGCAAAATCACTTCATTGAATGGAGCACGTGAGTGACGCTACCCAGCTCAAGATTTAGGCTCCATCTCTTTCCTATGTAAGCAGAAGAACCTGTCGTATATCAGCAGCTCACAGAAGCACATCACTGATCCCTACCAAGAACCACATCAGAGTCAAAACAGAGATTGCTTTCCCCATATGCACAATCATCCATTCTAAAAATAACAAACCCAAGTGCTGGCAATTTGACACATAGAAATGACAGCTGAAACACCAAAGATCCCATTTCGTTGTTACTTTCTAGGCACCATCAGCAATTTAAAACATTCTGCACAAATGGAAAGAAAACAGGTTACTGGGCAATTTGGATGACAGGAAGTTCTTTAGGTTGTATCCAATTCATTTCCATTGATAACTAATTAGAGTTAAGCCAGGAATGTCAAACATATGCCTCGGAGCTTATTGGGCCCTTTGGGGTTCCTGAGATGACCCATGACACCCCTGTTGCACCTGACAACTGTCAGGGCCAGAAAGCCAATGCTCTTAATACAGCAAAGATACATAGTAAGGACAGGCACTGTATGTTGCAGCTTCAGCCCCTTTCCTGTTCAAGTTGCAGTGTCGAGTGATGTACAGGCGGTACCCAAAAGATGAAAAGTTGGATAAGTACAGCCTTGTTTGTTCACGAGCCTTAGACAAGAGCATCCAATATATTAGGCCCTAGCCTTGTGGGGCCTCAGGGTAGTTTCCTGGCCCACCCCAGCCATGCTGTATCCCTGCTTCTGGCTGATCCAGCAGGGCTTTTCTTATGCATATTGACATAAGTAAATCCTACTAAGCTGACTCCCAAGCTAGTGTCCGTGTGCTGAGGATTACCGTGTAAGACATATCATGAAAACTATAGCACAAATGAAAAACAGCAACAGAAAAAAACGCCTCTTAGGAGTCACTTCAAAGCACCATCAGACTCACTGGGTCTAATGCCCTTGGTAATTGCCATATAATCCACAGGCAATTTACAAGTAATCTCAAGAAAGCACTTAGCCCCTGAAATGAATCCTAATTCCAGACAGGCCAAGGCAATGAGGTCTTGCCATACTCAAAAATGCAGTTTCCTGTCCATCCCACTCCAAATAGGAGACATGTGCTAGTTTTCTGAGTTTGTTTTCCTCCAAAACATCCTGTTTTTGCTTGGCATATTCAGCCAGATGCCTCTCTCAACCAGCTGCTATTCTGACCACTTCTTTAACCTCCAGTCAGCTCAAAAGCTGTCCCAACCTCTGCAAAGAACAAATCTCATGGGCAATGCGCTTGCACAGCCTTTCCCAACCTGGTACCCTGCAGATTCTTTTGGAATTCCCTTCACTCCAGCCAGCACGGCCAAGGGTCAGGAATGCTGGGAGTTGCCATCTTAAATAATTAAAGGGCACCAGTTGGGGGAAGGCTTATGTAGTTGGACTTATGTACTCCTTCCACTTGCAGAGCTGGCTGAAGAGGTGCTGCTACCTGAGGCAAGGACCAGATACCACTTCCAATCATGGCCAGACCTGCCATGAAGTGGGGTGAATCATTTGCCCCAGCAAGAGAATAGCTGGGGATGCCCTCCAGCACTGTCATCCTCTGGAGAGCCCCTCCAGCCAAAGGGACACTGCACAGCTCCCGAGAAAACTGGCTAGGGCAAAAGGATGGGCTTCCAAGTGGTCCTACCATAGAATACAGGCACTGACCTGGAACACTGCTTCCATGCCTGGCAGAGGACGGACTCCTGGAGACCTGGGTATTTTGGCACAGCCAGTCCTTGAAAGAGCTGGCTGGCTCTTTCCTTCCATTCCCAAGCCCAATTCTTAGTGCTGATTTAACCTCCAAAGCCCTAAACGGCTTGTGGCCAGGCTACCTGAAGGATTATCTGTATACCTGCTTGAACCCTAAAATCCTCTTCAGAGGCCCTTCCTCAGCTACAACCACCCAACAAGACGAGCCACATGACTATTAAAACATGGTGACACCTTGGCTGTGGAAGGCCCGTGACAGATAGGATCGCCGAGCACCTAAATTTTGAATGCCAGGTAGATAACGCTTTTATTTTCCAAAACTTTTCTTTTGTTTAATGTATTGGTGCATTATAGCTTTGCACTGCTGGTTGACTTTTACAATTTCAGTTTCATTCTGTTTTAAACATGTATTTTTTATCTTATATTTTACTATATCATTTTATGTAATGGCTTTAAATTAGTTTTATGAGCTGCCTGAGAAGCTTTGGCTGACAGGTGGTGTTATATAAATATATATAAATAAATATTTGTAGGAGCTGCTTGAACAAGCAGCTTGCGTATTCCTTCAGCACTGATGAATGGTGCGAATCCCCCACTAGGCAGCTTCGGGGGCTTCTGGCACACACACACTGTCCTCCAACACCTTGCCGCTGTTCCTTGCCCACTCCTGGAAGAGCCAGCCCTGATTACTTGG